GCTGCGGGACCCCGAGGGGGCTGTGGGACCTTCTGCTCCTTCTGCCCAGGGAGGGGAGGGAGAGTGGGGACCCCCCAGGGGATGGGTTTGGGGTCCAGAAGGATGGTGACACACAAGGACACAGGTGATGCAGGGACAGAACAGCCCTTTAATGCAGGTTTGGGAGCGAGGGGAAGTTGTGCCTGGAGGAGTGGGGACAGCACTCAGGCCGTGTCCCCCAGGGACCCCCCTGGAACCCCCCCAGCTCTTGGCTCCACAGCAAACACAGCGGGCACACAGAGACAGGAGCATGCAGAGGTGGCAGCTGTGCCACCTGCTCCTTGGCATCATCATCATCCTCACCAGGCCATGGCACGGCCCAGCCTGTGCCAGCAGCTCCCAGGGTCAGCCACAGTCAGCCTGGGCTGGGGCTGAGAAGAAATCCTCAGGCAGCTCTCCCAGGAGCCCATCCAGGTCATCTGCACGGCACAGCGGGGGGAAATCCATGAGTTTTACATGGAACCACACAATTGTTCAGGTTGGAAAAGCCCTCCAAGGTCACTGAGTCCAACCATTCCCTCAAGGCCACCACTAACCCGTGTCCCCAAGTGCCACATCCACAGGGCTTTTAAATCTCTCCAGGGCTGGGGACTCCACCACTGCCCTGGGCAGCTGTGCCAGGGCTGGACAGCCCTTTCCATGAAGGGATTTTCCCAATATCCAACCTGAACATCCCCTGGTGCAGCTTGAGGCCACTTCCTCTTGTCCTGTCCCTTGTTCCCTGGGAGCAGAGCCCAACCCCTCCGGCTCCACCCTCCTGTCGGGGAGTTGTGGAGAAGGAGAAGGTCCCCCCTGAGCTTCCTTTGCTCCAGGCTGGACATATCATAGAGCCACAGGATCATGGAAAAGTTTAGGCTGGAAGGGACCTTGAAGCTCATCCAGTTTCACCTGCTGCCCTGGGCAGGGACACCTTCCACCAGCCCAGATTGCTCCAAGCCCCGTCCAACCTGGCCTTGAACACCTCCAGGGATCCAGGGGCAGCCACAGCTTCTCCAGGCAACCCCTTCTCTGAGACCCTCCCTCTGCCACTGCAGATGAGGGCAGTCACCACCCCACCCCAGTTTTCCACAGGACATGGAGCATTTCTTCCCCTCCTGGAGCAGGTCTGACTCACCCATGTCACATCCATCAGCTCCCACTGGCTCTTCCTGCCTGGGCCTGGGGCTTGGTGGGTGAAGGGAAAAGCCCCCTGGATGCTCCTCTGTGCTGTGGCCACTTGTCCTTGAGTGTCCCCAATCCCCAGGGACAGGGACACCCTGGGGGGGCTGTGCAGGAGGGTCTGAGATTAGCCCAGCCTGGGCAGGGACCTGCAAAACCCAGCAGGGATGAATTAACCAGGAGCCCGGGGGGGGGATTTATCCATCCTTCCTCCCGAGGGTCCCCACACGTCCCCAGAGCCACCAGCACTGTCCCCTCCTCACCTGCTGCTGGGAGCAGCCGCCCTCGGGCTCCGGTGGGAAGATCCTGAGCAGGTTGTTGGGGGTGACATTGAGGTAGTGGTTGCGGTGGGAGGGGGAGAAGACCCCCACCTACGAGGGAAGGGAGGGGAGGTCAGAGCCAGCTCCAGCTCCCTGCCTGTGGAGGAGTGTCTGGATAACACCCCAAAGGTACATTTTTCCATTTATGACAAGCTCAAATGAAAATTTTAAGGTGCAGGGTGAAATTTTAGGAGTATTTGAGAAAAAAATCAGAGTTGTAGAAGTGTGTGAGACCCTTTCCCAATATTTATGTTTGTAATTCCAGGGTATTATGAAATGGGAATGGTGATGTACCATATGAACAGACTAGTAGTTTCCCATATCCCCTTATCCCAATATTCCTTTATCCTAATATTTACAGTCACAAATCCAAGGTTATAAAAGAAAGAGAAAGGTGATGTGCCCTCTTAACACACCAGTAGTTCCTTTTATCCCCTTATCCTAATATTTATATTCACAATTCCAGGGTGTTATAAAATAGGGAACAGGAAAAGTAATGCACCCTATTAACACACTGGTAGCTCACCTTGTCCTAATATTCCCTTATCCCCTCATACTGATATCCCCTTACCCCCTTATCCTAATATTTAAATTCACAATTCCAGGGTGTTATAAAATGGGGAATAGGAAAAGTGATATAGCCAATTAACACAGTGGTAGTTCTCCTTATCCCAATATTCCCTTACCCTAATACTTACACTCACAATTCCAAGGTATTATGGAACAGGGAATTGGAAAGGTGATCTATGTATTGACACACCTTATCCTAATATTTATATTCACAATTCCAAGGTGTGACAAAATAGGGAATGGAAAAGGTGATGTACCATATGAACAGGCTGGTAGTTCCCCTTATGCCTTTACCCCAATACTCCCCTTTCCTCTTATTCTAATAATTATATTCACAATTCCAGAATGTTATAAAATGGGAAACCAGAAGAGAGATATGTATCCTATTGACACACTGGTAGTTCCCCTTATCCTAACATTCTCTTATCTCCTTATCCTAATATTTATGTTCACAATTCCATAGTGTCATGGGACAAGTGATACACCCCATTAACACACTGGGTGTTCTCCTTATCCTAATATTCCCTTATCCTCTCATCCTAATATTCCCTTATCCTCTCATCCTTTTATGCACAATTCCAGGGTGTTATGGAATTGGGAATGGGGCAGGTGATGGATCCTATTAACAAACTGCTAGTTCCCCTTACCCTAATACTCCCTTATACTCATATTCACAATTCCAAGGTGCTAAGGAACAGGGAATGGGACAGCTGACATGCTGTATTACCACCCCAGTAGTTCCCCATATCCCATTCCCCTGGGATGTGATCCACCTCTCCTACCTGGCTCAGGAGCAGCACGGAGCCAGGCCGGAGCTCGCTCTGCCTCTCCTCCAGCAGCAGCCGGTGCACTGTGCCCTGGATCTCCCCTATGGATGAGGATGGGATCCCTGAGCCCTGGGAGTGAGAGGCAGGAGCCCCACCCGGGCCCAGCTCCGGCCCCACTCACCCGTCGGATCCCGGAACACGGCGCCGGCGCCGGCGCTGCTCCTGGTCAGAGCCTTGATCATCACGGCCATGCTGGGGACCTTGTTTTTTGGGAGCTGCTTCAGGGCTGCCTGCACGGCACAAAGGGGGATTTTGGGATGTCCTGGCCAGGAGCTGGACTCGATGATCCTTGTGGGCCCCTTCCAGCGTGGGACATTCCAGGATTCCGTGACCCTTGTCACACCAATGTCCCCGGGTGGATGTGGCTGTCCGTGCTCAGCCCAGCTTGGCCCCCTCCCCACACTGATTCCTGGCTCTAAAAACAGCTCTGAGGGGTGAGGGAAGAGCTGGAAGCCGAATCCCAGGTCTGGTGGCCTCGTGTGGGCCCCCTCACCTTCCGCAGCACCATGACGACGCTGTAGGTGTGGAGGAAGCAGCCGGGATCCCTCTCGTCCAGCCCCAGCTCTGTCTTCATGGCCAGCCAGGGCCCCTTCCCAAAATCCTCCTCCGTGGGCAGCGGGGAGCTGGGCAGTGCCTGGAGTCACGGGACAACCACAGTCACCACCCTGGAGCCGCAGGGACCCCCTCCCCTTCCAGCATCCCTCTTTGGGAGCCCACAGCAGTGCTGAGGGGATTCCCAGCCGGATCTGCTGCAGCTGGGGGGAAGTGTCTGTGTTACCTGTGTCCGTGGCTTTGCCACAGCCCCGTGAGCTGGAGTCTGGGGAGCAGAAACCAGGATCTCCTCCAGCAGCTTCCCAGAGTGCTTATGGGACAAAGGGAGGTGTCCAGGGATTTGCATCGCTTCATCAGCTGCTCCCATCCCAACCTGTCCCATCTTATGCCATTCCCATTACCTTCCCATCCTATCCTTATTCCATTCTCATCCCATTCCACCCCTGTCCCCATCTCTATCCCTATTCCCATCCTCATCCCCATCCCATCCTTATCCCTGTTCCCATGCTGTCTCTATCCTCATTCAATCCCCATCCCCATCCAATCCCCATTCCACTCCCATCTCCATCTCTATCCCCACTCCCATCCTGTCCCCATCCCCATCCTCATCCCCATCCCATCCTTCTCCCTGTTCCCATGCCCTCCCTATCCCCATTCAATCCCCATCCCATTCTCATCCCCACCCCATCTTCATCCCATCCCTCTCCCAGTTCCATTCCATTGCCATCCCCACCTTTATCCCCGTTCCACTCCAACCTCCATCCCTATCCCCCCTTCCATCCTGTCCCCATTCCCATCCCCATCCCCATCACCCACCTGCTGGGGCAGGATCCCGGCGGGCCCCGGGAAGCGCCGGCTCTCCCTGCACGGGGGGACTCGGGGGGACGCCCCGGGGGCTTTGCTGGCTGCTGTCACCAGCTGCACCAGGTGGTTGGTCACCACGGGGGGGTTCGGGGGGCCGGGGGCGTTGGGGACCACGGTGGGATTTGGGAATCCAGCAGCCATCTGGAGCGGCGGCCTCGGGGGCTCCGTGGATCCAGGGGGTCGGGAGGGGGGCCTGGGGGGCTGCTGGGGTTGGGGGCTGCTCAGTGCTGGAGGGGTCCGGGGCCCCCCCAGACACGAGGAGGAGTTGCTGCCTCCCAGGGGTGCTTGGAAAGGCCTCAGGGATGGAGTCCCTGGAGCAGGGATGGACCCAGACCCTGCGGAGCTTCCCGGCTTTCCCATGGAAATGGGGGGCCTGGGGGTCCAGGAACCGGCTGTGCTGGGCCTCAGCACCCCTTTGGGAGTGGGGAGGGGGCCCTGCCTGTCCTGCACCCCCCTGGAGCTGGGGATCGGCTCCTCTCCCACTCTCAGCTTTTTGGGGATCCCACATTCCTGAGCGTTCTCCTTCCCTGGGCGTATCCGTGTGGGATGCTCCCCGCGCCCGGGGGGCAACGGGGCAGCGCCGGCCCCCGCCGGCCCCTCGGGCCCCTCCAGCTCCATGCAGGCAGCCAGGAAAAGTTCATTGTCCAGCTCATCCTGGGGGGCTGCTCCCCTGGGTGGGGGTCCCTGGAATCCCGCGGGATGCTCCCCCTGCCCGGCGAGGGGTCGGAGGGTGGGGGGTTTACTGGGATGGGGTTTACTGGGATGGGGTTTACTGGGAGGAACTGGGGCGTCGCTGGGTGACGAGTATCCAGGGATCACAAACTGGTTCTCCGCGTCTTCCACGGCGGAGAGGAAATCCTGCGGGGAATTAGAAAAAACGCCGGGAATTCAAACAGCTCCGTGTGATCCCCCCAAAAAATTCAGCCAAGCTGGGGTGGCCCCAGCCCTGGGGGGGGGGGAGCCCCTCACCTCGTCCTCCAGCTCCCCGTCCGTCCCAAAAAGCTTCTGGAAGTGGCAGGACTGTGGGAAAAGAGGGAAAAATGGGATTACGGGGGGCACAACAAGATGGGGGGGGACCTCGGGGACCTCAGATCCCTTAAGGACCCCAAAACTCTCAGGGAGGGGCCCCCAAACTTGTCCCACTTCCACCCCCCGGGGGCCCCCGG